AGGCTGATATGCCAGCAAACACTCCAAGCAACAATGTGTCTTGGATAAGTCGCTCCACAACATTGTTACTTGGACTGTCGACTTGCTTTGGCATCACCAGCAGCTTATTTTCGTTTAATTTCGTTATGAAATGATACTTTTCAGAGTAAATATGTTTTCCATGTTTTACATTCAGCACCCACATTATAATGAATAAATATGATATATTTATTCATTACTAACGTAACATTAGGAAGATTTGGGTAGCTTGTTAGGAAGCTTTGAGTAGCTTTGGGTAATTAGACAGACCCATTCAGACTAGACGAACTGGGTGTAGACAGTTAGGCTAGCTACTCTCGGCTAGACAGTGAGGCTAGATATTGTCAGTCTAGACAGACAGTCAGGCTAGACAAACTGCTGAGTGAACAGGGGCTACAGTAAAGGATTGACGGCAAGTAAATCCTCCATGACCAGGATATGAACCCAGGTCAATGCGCTCCTGAAACATCAGGCGAGTGTGTTACCACTTCACCATGGGGACTGCTTGATAGATAGTGGCTTTTGGCAAGTGTAATGACTGTGACAAGACACAGTCATTACACTAATGACGCCCAAACCCTCACTGCCTTTATCCCTCATTGCCTCTATCCCTCCCTCACTTCCTTCTCCCCCTCACTGCTCCTATTTCTCCTTCACTGCCTCCATCCCTGCTTCTATCTTCACCTCACTAACTCGACCTCCACCTCACTTCCACTATCCATCCCTCACCCAGGTGGATATTGAGAGTGGTGGGGATGGCAATGTTTGTTTACAGTTGGTGGCACCCATCATGACCAAGTCACACACGAGGTATTTATAATTACAAATGGTAATTCAAGAGGATTCGATGAGAATACTGTATACAGTATGCCTTTTCTGAAGTGTATACTGATTCATTGCTTTACAGTTAAATAGTAGTATATAATAATGAATTGTTCTTGTTATATATATTACTAAAAAGTGCATTACTGAAATGACTTCTGAAGGCGTCACCTGTTGCAACGAATCCCTCACTCTAACGAATCAGGGTTGGTCCCAAATAGTTTGCCGAATCGAGGGAGCACTGTACCTAAGTTTTGTGTATTGTAATGGACCACTAAGCTGTTCTGGTGCGTTCACACAGCATTGCATCACCACACAAAAATCAAGAATAATTTCACACAGAAGAAGAAATCAATTTTTTTTCTACAAAGTGATAGGGGGTATGCAAACCAGTAAAATGGTATAAAAAGGCAAACCAACAAAATCACTAGAAGAAGGGCTAGTGAAGAATAAGGAGAGGGGGAACATGTTCCTGAAAATGCATACACCAACAAGGATGGAGTGAGATCAAAGATACTGGAGTTAAGTGATGTAATACAGCTGCAGACACCAGACATTGCTGCACTCATGGAGACAAAACTTCAAGATGATATTTTAAATGAGGTCATATTCCCAAGGGGCTACACAGTCTGGAGACGGGACAGAAAAATTAGGAAAGGCGGTGGCGTTGCTGTGCTGTTGAAAGAACACCTAAAGGTAAATGAAATAATGATTGTCAATCCACGAGAAGTTGACATAATAGCACTAGAGATCTGCAATCAGGATGATAAACTAACGATCATAAATGCATATAGTCCACCGCCATGCAACACATGGTCAAAGGAGGAAATAAACTGGATAAGCGAGAACTAAACCAGAGGGCCTTTAGAACAGAGGGTAACAATAATGAGAGAGATTATAGCGAGAACTGATAAAGATGGATCACGACTGTTGGTAGTTGGCGACTTCAACTTGAAATCCATAGGCTGGGAGGCATATGAAGCTAGAACAGAGGATTTTTGGGCTTATAGATTCGTAAACCTCATCCTGGAAGCATTCATGTTTCAACACGTTAAACAAGCTACAAGGATGAGGGAAGGGGATGTTCCCTTCATGTTGGATTTGATATTTACTAGGAAAGAGGAAGAGATATTTGGCATTCAGTACCTCCCTCCCTTGGGTAAAAGTGACCATGTCTTTTTGGGAATAAAGTATGCAATACGTTATAATCTGAAAGAAAATGAGGTTCAAGCAGTTGTAAAGCCTGTTTTTAGGAGAGGTCATTATGGGAAACTCAGATATTTATTTAAGGAATTTGACTGGAAAGACTTTCTGTAAGGACATGAAGTAAATGAGATATATGTCAAGTTTAAGATATGATAAAGGCACAAAAAAAAATTATACCAGAGCAAAGATACAGAACTAGGAAACGGGATTGGTTCGACAGAAATTGCGAGAGGGTCAGAGACGAAGAGACACAAAAATGGAATCAATATAGGAAGAGGCCAAACCCCCAAACATACCAGCGATACAAAGATGCGAAAATCAAGTACACGGCAGTGAGGAGAGAGGCAGAAAGAAATTTTGAAAAAGGGATTGCGGACAAATGTAAAACAGAACCAGGTCTATTCTATAAATTTATAAATAACAAATTGCCGGTAAAGGATAATATTCAGAGGTTGAAAATGGGAAATAGATCCACAGAAAATGAGAAGGAAATGTGTGAAACATTAAACGAAAAGTTCCTAAGTGTGTTTGTACAAAATGAAATATTCAGAACCAGACACAATAAGAATTCCAGAGAACAACATAGAGGACATAGAGGTGTCTAGAGATGAAGTGGAAAAAATGCTCAAGGAGCTAAGTAAGAACTAAGCAGTTGGTCCAGATGGAGTTTCACCATGGGTTCTGAGAGAATGTGCACCTGAACTCAGCATTCCACTTCAACTGATTTTTCAAGCATCCCTGTGTACAGGATTTGTAGCTGATGTGTGGAAAAAGGCTAACATAGTTCCAATCTACAAAAGTGGCAGCAGGGGAAGACCCCTCAATTATAGACCTGTATCATTGACAAGTGTATAGTCAAAATATTGGAAAAAATAATTACAACTAAATGAGTAGAACACATGAAGAAAAACGATATAATATCAGATACAGTATGATTTTCGACCTGGAAGATCCTCTGTAACAAATTTACTCAGTTTCTATGATCGCACAATAGAGATTTTACAGGAAAGAGATGGTTGAGTTGACTGCATCTATCTGAACCTAAAAAAGGCTTTTGACAGAGTTCCACATAAGAGGTTGTTCTGGAAACTGGAACATATTGGAGGGGTGACAGGTAAGCGTCTAACATGGATGAAAAATTTCCTAACTGATAGAAAAATGAGAGCCGTAATCAGAGGCAGTGTATCGGATTGGAGGGATGTCACAAGTGGAGTACCACAGGGTTCAGTTCTTGCACCAGTGATGTTTATTGTCTACATAAACGATCTACCAGATGGAATACAGAATTATATGAACATGTTTGCTGATGATGCTAAGATAATAGGGAAAATAAGAAACCTAGATGATTGTCATGCCCGTCAAGAAGATCTGGAGAAAATAAGTATATGGAGCACCACTTGGCAAATGGAATTTAATGTGAATAAATGCCATATTATGGAATGTGGAATTGAAGAACACAGATCCCACACAACCTATAAATTATGTGAAAAATCTTTAAAGAATTCTGACAAAGAAAGGTATGTAGGGGTGGTTCTAGATAGAAAACTGTCACCTGAGGACCATATTAAAAACATTGTGCGAGGCGCCTATGCTACACTTTCTAATTTCAAAATTGCTTTTAAATACATAGATGGAGAAATACTAAAGAAATTGTTCATGACTTTTGTTAGACCAAAGCTGGAATATGCAGTGGTTATATGGTGTGGTTGTATGTATCTTAAGAAGCACACCAACAAACTGGAAAAGGTGCAAATACATGTCACTAAGTGGCTCCCAGAACTGAAGGACAAGAGCTACGAGAATAGGTTAGAGGCATTAAATATGCAAGAACTAGAAGATAGAAGAAAATGAGATGATATGATCACTACGTACAAAATAGTAACAGGAATTGATAAAAGTGATAGGGAAGAATTCCTGAGACCCGGAACTTCAAGAACAAGAGGTCATAGATTTAAACTAACGAAACAAAGCTGCCGGAGAAATATAAGAAACGTCACTTTTGTAAACAGAGTGGTAGACGGTTGGAACAAGTTAGGTGAGGTGGTGGTGGAGGCTAAAACCGTCAGTAATTTCAAAGCGTTATATGACAGAGTGCTGGGAAGACAGGACACCACGAGCGTAGCTCTCATTCTTTAACTACACTTAGGTAATTACACACTTGTCAGCTGACGACTCCACCTGACTCGGCAATATTCTTCTTCCCAACATACTATGCATGTTGTTTATTCTAGGCACAATTCTGCTGTTATAAACAGTCACCAGTGGTGCAGTGGTAACACTATCCCTGTGCTTCACTTGCAGTTTGGCCTAGGTTTGTATTCTGGTCAGGAAGAACTAACTATATTACTTACATACTTAGTAGGTGCCAATCCTTACTATTGACTAGGTGCCAATCCTTAACCGTGTGCCTCTGTTCACCCAGCAGTGAATGTGTACTTAGTCAAATTATTGGCGGGTCATATTCTAGGGAACTAGTGGGTAAGGCTTACCATGAGATATGGGATGGGAAAGCTCTCAGCCTGCTAACAGGAGTCGGCAGTCATCTGTTCCTGTACTCACCTGTGTAAAAAGAAGAATCCTGGTCACTAAATCCTTAAAATCAATAATTTTCCACAATTTTATGATCTAAAGGAACAGGAGTTGTTGCTTCAAGATGCTTAGATGCACCAAACAATTGCAGAGTGCTGCAGCTGTCTGCATCATGATGTGACCATCATCAATTGAAGTTTGTGTTCACCGAGATCTGAACACTGTACGTAATCTCTATCACAGTCAGATTCTTCTATGATACTATCATCACAAAATAATTGTATTTACTTTTATATTTTATCACTTTTAAGTGATGCTGTATACAAAAGCTGAATAGTGGTGCTGTTAGTTCATGCTGCATGTGCTGCCCTTGGTTGCTCACTCAGCACTGATACCTTCACACCCTGGAACAGTGTCCACATTTTTTTTTCAAAATGGCATATGTTTTCTGGAGGCCTGAGACAGCAATGTGAGCCCTGTAAACCTGTGAGAGTTTAAATCTTATGTGATATGTTAAACAATCCCTAGATGATTGGCACAGGTTGGTCAGATGTGCCGCAGCCATCCGTGTATGACTGAAGCAGCAGAAGGATTAAGGCAGTTTTTCTGTTAGTGTTCACCTCTGGTTGTAGGGTCAGGGAGCTACATTCCAGAGGTGAGGTTTTGTTATTTTGGCCTGGGTGGGCATTGTAGGCATTACTGTATGTTCATTTGCAGTCTTTTTCTGGCAAAGAATGAGTTGGGAATTTTCCTGAGCGAAAACTCTTTGCCCAGTGGCGACTCTTCCTCGCTACCTTTGTGCTACTGATTCTGCCTCAGTGGATGCTTTGTAGGTTGTTCCTTTTTTTCTTGGTTGCCTGTTCCAAGGGGGTCTGTAGTTTCTGTTTCTCTGGTCATCTGTAGTGTCATTAAGTTCTGCTAGCCTGTAGTCTACCCTCATGCACAAGATGTTCATTACAATGTTGCTCTTGCAGCTGTCTTTGGTAACATGTCCTGGTACTGCTATTTTGGCAGCCTAACAGGGTCTTATCAGCCCGGTATTTATGTAGCATTCTCGGTCCTCGTTACGCCTGTGTTGCCTTGGGTCCTCTCTCTTGGCTAGTTGTCTTTTCTTCATCTTGAATACCTGTGATCACTCCTTCCCCATGTAAGTCCTTATTTTTCTTCTCCATGGGTAGCTAGCTTCACTAACTAACTTCGCTAACATTTGCCTCAATGATACAGTATTTTTATAATACTCTGCTACTTTAGTCTGGTTTTGGCAAAATACTTTCATTTTACTTAAAAATGAGCTGAGGTAGAATATGTTTAGCCTTACAAAATATAAGACTATAAAATCCCATTCTTACTCCTGCACCTTTCTAATATTAATAAAAAAAAATGATAAATCATGGAACAACAGCTGATTACAGAACAGCTGATAACGGAACATTAGAGCTGGTCTGGTTGGCCTTTCCGGCGGGCCCAATTTACAAGCTGCTTGACCTTGGAGATGACCAGCTGGCAGAGAGACTGCCTGAAGTTGGAACCACAGATGGTGTAGAGGAGAAAGTTAACAGAGTAGTGGGAGTAATAGAGACACATAAACACCTCTTGAACCTTGGCCAGCTGCTGTGTCTCCTCCAACTTGCAATCTTTTCCAGTAATATCCTCTTCGAATTCTCCACCTTTTCCCACTTCACATCCTCCAGCAGCCTTCCTCTTGTTATCTTCAGCTGTCTCTAGTTCATACCTGAGCATGACGTAGACTCTGAGCAGGTAGCTGCAGAAGAAGGACAAGGTTTTACTCAATATCTTGCTCAAATAAGATTATGTTCAAAATCTTGCTAAGGCAAGACTTTGTCTAATGTCCTACTGTCTAATACAAAGGTTATTTCAAGGTCAGGTCCTACTCTTTAGTCTATCTCAAAATTTTAATTAAACTATTTTCCAAGACTTTCTGAGAGGCTATATTCCAAACCTTCCCTGATGCCTAACTTATTAAGAACTTAAGCTTAGTTGCCTAAGGTGGCTGTGTACAAAACCTTTCTGTCTTGCTTATACAACCAGAGAGAAATGGCATCTACAAGATAGAGAGACTGCAGGTCATAAGTTTAGAACAAGAGAGAAACACTAACCTTGGTAATTGGAGGATGATAAACATGGTTGAGATTAGCACTAACATCTTGCTAATGTTATTGTGAGCATGATCTCTGGTGGCCACATGGGTCTGATTTCTAGCAGTGTGGTTGGGGTCATTAGTGTGATTGTAGTTTCTGCTTGCAATGTGGGTATGACCTCTAGTGCCAGTATGGTTTCTACTGGCAATGTGGGTGTGTTCTTTAGTGATGTGGTCTTCAAAAGAAGCATGGTTGTGATCTCTTGTGGCAGTGTGTTTGGGGTTTCTAATGGAAGTGTAAGTGTGGTCTCTAGCAGTAGTGTGGGTACAACTTCTGTTTGCAATGTAAGTTTGCTTTCTAGTGGTATTGTGGGTGTAGTCTTTGGTAACAGTGCGAGTGTTGTCTCTAATACTGTGATTGTGTTCACCTGTAATTTTGTGTTCGTTACATATTGGGACTTGAGTATGATGTTTGGTGGTGTTTGAGGGTTTCCAAACTGCATGAGTTTGGTCTCTGATGGTGGTGGTGGTGGTACAGATGTGATCTCTATTGCCTCTAATGTTATGAATGTGGTCTTTGGGTGTAAAAGTGGGATCACAGATGTTGGGCTGGTCTTTATGTAGGGGATGGTTATCATGGAGAGGTGGCACTTCATGAAGGGCTGGGTCATCCTGGAAGGGAGGGTCATCAGTCAGGCCCTTCTGGAAGGGTGGGTCATCCTGGAGGGGTGGGTCATCCTTGAAGGGTGGGTCATCCTGGAGAGGTGCTTTATCCTGGAGGGGTAAGTCATCCTGGAGAGGTGGGTCATGCTGGAAGGGTGGGTCATCCTGGAGAGGTGGGTCATCCTGGAGGCGTGCTTTATCCTGGAGGGGTGGATCATCCTGGAAGGATGGTTCATCCTGGAGAGGTGGGTCTTCCAGGAAGGGTGGATCCATGTGTATTGACAAATCACTGTGGAGTTGCAGGTCACTGTGGAATTGCAAGTTTTCCAGGAGAGGCAGGTTGCCTGGAAGAAATCATAAATGTAAGATAACAATATATGCACATCAAACTATAGAAATAATTATAGCTTAATATTATCAAGGATCTTATGTATGTGAAAGAAAATAGAGGAATCCAATATACAGTATAGTCTTTTCTGGAGGAAGCCCCCTGACCATCTTCCGGAGATTGCTTCATAGTAAAAGGTCACATCAGCTCTGGAAGTTCTGTTTGGCCTACTGGGAACCAGAGCCATAACCTGGCCCTCTCAAAGAGGAGCAGGTGACACTTCGTCACCCCTACCAGAAAGTCAGTGCAGATTTACATACAACTGGAGGGGTCACAGAAAACGAAGCCTTAAAACTGCCACTCAATTTCTGTAAATGATTCACACACAACAAAGGATTTACTCAAATACAGTACCTGTAAGCTCAAACTCATTAGTACTAATTACCACCACCAGGCGGGGCGACCCCGGCCATAAGCCGGCTCTTCCCAGACAATTCTGATCCTGATGTTGGTGTCTCCACACCAACTTGTAGTGCTTCTGGTCATGCCAGCTCACAAGCGAGCACCGAAGCTTCAAGCTAGGTGCCTGCAGCCATCCATAGACTTGGTAGTCCTGTGGGGGGGCAGTTGCTTATTTGTATCGTTTCATTATTTAGTGTTATCTTCACGTTGTGTGGTTTGATTCTGGCTTGTTTTGTGGACTTGGCTCTAAAGGAGTTTTGGATTGCATGTACTCAGTGTTTTCTTGGCTATTAATGCTTCACTTACATAGTCAAGAACTTCCCTTCTCTGGTATGTTTGGGTGTTTATCTGTGAGACTGCGCCACCAGGATAGGGGCCTTACCTTGGGCTCTTCAAGGGTCTTGGATTTTTCTGTTTGAGCCAATGGATGGGGGCATTCATTGTTTGTATTGGGGTACAATGGGGGTTCGCATCCTTGTTTGCATGGCATGCCACGGTTGCTTTTCATAACCCAGTGATTAGGCTACGGTTGGTGTCTGTTCCTCCAGCGAGAGACCCCAGTGCCTGGGGTACCCACTTGGTTTTCATTCGGACTCTGGGAACCCCCTCCAGGTCTCTGTCATGGTCATTATGGAGCGGCCCATTGAGCCCAGCCTTACTGCCTGCAAGTTTGAGGGGTGTTCATCATCTCTACTACATCATGATGTTCATTGTTTTTGCCCTTGCCATGCTGCCTGTTGCATTGGTGATGTTCACAACCTAGAGTCATGTAGTTTGCTCTCACCGAGGCTCTGCCTGAATGGATTTCACCAAGTTGGGGGCTTTCCAGACAGCAGCTGCTGCTTTATGAGAATAGGTTTGCCCATCTTAAGTGTTTGTAGCATTGACCAGATAGAAACACCAGAATAAGTCCATGGTGTTTGGGGACCCAGAATTGGAGGTGTTGGTAATCTCCATCTGGACTCTGCTTGCACCTCCTTTTCTTTCCCCTGAAATTGTGTTTTGAGCTGTTCTTTTTCCCCGGCATCTGGCTCTAAAGCATCTGAGGGGTTTTAGAGTCGAGTTGAGGTTTAGCTCAAGGTTTAGCTCAGGGTGTAGCTCGGCCTTTTCTGGAGGGTAGTTTCTTCCACTGTGGTGGGTGGAGTGGTTGAGTCTTTTAGTCCTACCAGGGCTTTGTAGCATTCTCCTTTGCAGCCATCTTCTTACCCTGAGCCTATTTCCTGTGGTTCCTGTCTCAGATGCTGGGCGAGGTCTTCAGCTCTGCCCTGGAGTCTCAGTGGCAGGCTTTTAGAACTAAGGGGGAGCTCAAGGAGTGCCTTAGGTGTCCTAACTTGTTATTGGTTCACTTTGCAGAGGGTCTTATGTTAAAAGGGGATCACTTTTCTTATTACCCTTCTATGTATGACTTAGATTGCTTGGCTGCTTTCCCCTCAGGTTTATTTCCGGGTTCCAATGAGTGACTCGAATTCGTCGTATTTTTGGAGGTTTCCTTCCTCCCATGCTGCACCTTCTGTGGTTAGTGCGGATTTGCTTCAATACTTCCAGTGCAGCATGGATCTTATTTCTATGATGGACCCAGCCTCTTTTGAGTTTGAGTCCATTTCTTCTTTTTGGTTGCAGTTTGAGATTTCTGGCTTATCCTGGCTGGCTGACAACCCTCTCCTTTCCTTGGTGTCTAGGCAGGTGTTCTGCCATTCCTGTGCGCTTGACTGGTGGGAGGTGAGCTCCGTCTTTTGGGTGTTTTTGAGAAAGGGACTCAATTTGCCCAACGTCAGTCCTACCTGATTGCTCTGTCACTGCCCTGCGATGCGGGATAGTGGTAGCTCCATGTGCAGCTGCCTGTGCTTTCCAGGGCTATTATTGTGGATGGCCAAAGGGTACATTTGCACCTGGCTGCAGTCTTGCATGTCTGGGTCTTCATGGAGGGGCTCACTAAGCATCTCCTTGAGGACCTGGTATTGCTGGGACGCCTACAGTTTCAGCCATGGTGGCCTTGCCCACGATGCTTGCCCCCTCAGCTTTGTGATGCTCTGGCAGTGTTTTATTCCACCTGCCTCGCATGTCGGCAGGCCGTGCTGGCCCACTGTTTAGATTCGGTTTGGTCTCTTACTCTTGTGGCTCTTCCCCCATTTTTGCCTCACCTCTTTCCTGGCATCATAGTCAATCAGGTTGTTTTAGCAGTGGCTTTCTCAAGCCGTCCAATTGACAAGGTGTTGCTTTCTAGAGATTCTGCTTTTTTCAGAGGCAGTCTTGTCAAGTGGGGGACCTTGCCTGTTGATGATCAGGGGTGGATCCTAAGTTGGGTCAGGTCCCCAGGCTGTTGTGCTTCCTGAGGAGGCTTCCTCCTCTGTTCAACGTTGCAGTCATGCATCACAGAGGTCTGGTTCTTCTCCGGCCTCACATCAGCATTTTCAGGGTTTATCCATTTGATGACATTGTGGGAGGATATCTGGCCTATTTTACCAGCTCCTGGTCTCATGATTCGTTGGCTTTTTGGGTGGCAATCTTCTTCTGGAAGAATTGGTGGTTGCCTTCTGTGAAGCTGATCAATCCTTCCTGCAGTTTTGGGGTCAGGTCTGTTGGGTAAGGATCACTCTTTAGCACTGCATCTGGTCCTTGCGGTTGGTTACCCTCAGGCATGGTCAAGCCGAACTTGTCTCTTATGTGGGTTTCTTGATTGTTCCCAATCTCAAAGTGGCATTTGGCAAACCTCCAGTATATCCTCAATCTTTCGGGCCTGAACTTCATCTTCTGCCTAACCTTTTGCATGACCGCCTTTGCCTAGGTTCACCTGCTATTACAGGCTTAACCTTGGCTGGTGTCCCTGGACCTCAAGGATGCATATTGGTCCATTCCTATTCATCTGGGGTTCAGGTACTGCTAGGCTTTATCTTAGGATGTCCTGTGGGTAACCTGTGAGGAAACCTTTAGGGTTCCCCCACTTCGGCCTGAACCTGGCACTCCGTGTGTTTATCAGAATGGACGGGTCGTTGTGGCCTGGTTGTATTTATTAGGAGGTTCATGTGTTGGCCTCCCTCGACAATTAGCTGGTGTGAGCCCCAAGTTGGTCCACAGCTCAGCTGGCCAGGGATCTGGTTCTTTCCCAGCTCCCCGGGTTCAGGTTTCTGGTTCCTGGTGAACTGGCAGAAGTCCCAAATAGTTCCGTCCCAGGTTTGGACTTGGCTGGACATAGTTTGGGACTCTTGATCAGCGTCTCTTTCCCTGCTTCCGGCAGTGTTGCTCCACCTGCAGCTTTGTCGCCGTTTGGTGTTGGATCGGCCCAGGTGACTCGTCAATTGATCAAGCGGTTGGGCGGGAGCCTCAACGTTATCTGTCTGGTTCTGATGTCGTTCTAAGGTGGTTTTCTAATTAGCTCTTGCCTCTAGTTGTCCGGTTGGAAAGCTTCATGCTCCCCAAGGGGGTTTTGTTCCTTTGGCCATGGTGGATGGTTTGTTCATTTGCAGCTGTTCCTGTCTTTTCCGATGATGAATGAGTTGGCAGGCTTCTGGAGAGGTCCTTTGGTGATTGGTGTTTGGATGTTTCAGCCGGGAATGCATCATCTCTTGTGTCCAGTGGTAGTTCTTTACCGGTACCTGTGTGCCACAATTCCTGTCTCGGTGGATGCCTTATTGGTTGATTCGGTTTTCTTGATTCCTCATTCCAAGGCTCACATTTCTCACGTTGTCCACAGTGCCTTCAAATCTAGCCAACCTGTGGTTTACCCTCGGGGCCATAATGTTCGTAAATACAGTATGTGGCTTGAGCCGTCATTTTTTCTGACATGTTCTGGGCTCAGTCAGCCGTGTGTGATTTTGGGCCATGTTACTTGGCCTGGTTTCTTTTCATCCTAAGTGCTGCATGTCTCCTCCTTTCTGGTACATCCATTCTTGTTTGTTCTCCATGGTTAGTTAGCTTCAGGAAGCCACAGGGGACTCCTTCCAGAAACCCAGCATTGAATATAATGAAATGTCAACTTCTGGAGAAGCCCCGGTGGCTCCCTGACACCCTCCCTCCCTCCCTCCCATTAGGTTCATCAGTTCATCGTGAATTTGTTCATCAGGTCCAGAACTGACTGATCGCCAGAGCCGGGCCACCTGGTGATGTTAATCAGTACTAACGAGTTTGAGCCCAGTAAAGTTAATCCTTTGTTTTCTGTAAATCGTTTACAGAGATCATTTGGCAGTTTCAAGGCTTCATTTTCTGTGAACCCTCGTTGTCTGTAAAGCTGCGCTGACTTTCTGGTGGGGTGGTTTTTTATCACCTGCTCTCTGTGCCTCTTTGAGGGCGGCCAGGTTCTTGCTCTGATCCTCAGTTGACCAAACAGAACTTTCGCAGCTGATGTGAACTTTTAATATCAGGGAGCCACTGGGGCTCCAGAAATTGGATTCTCATTAGATTCAACACTGGGATTTTATTGACAATTATTTAGCATTACAGTACACACTTCTAAAATTATTAAACAAATTTAGTGGGTTTTTTTCTTTCCAAATGAGTTAAAAATATAAAATACGTTATGTTGAGAAAAAATATTTAAAGAAAAATCCCATATATTTGCTTGGATATAGAGAATTTCAAATTAGGTATTGTACTGTAAATTAATTATGATATTGTTATCAGTTCTTCAAATTTAGATAGTTAGCCCTTATTTATATGTTTTCTTTTCTTGTAGAGTTTAAAAGAAAACATTACTTAACATGTATTTTTGATAAAAAAAACAGCAGTGGCTATAATGAAACGCTATTTTCTGGGTAAGTCCTGGAGGCTCCCCAGAGCTATCCAGGCTGATAAGGATACCCTAACTTTTGGCATCAGTCGATGTGGATGGAGTTCTAGGCCTACCGGGGACCACAGCCAGAACCGGGCCTCCTCAGAGAGGTACGAGGAGGAATGGCCTATAGAAATGCACATGTAACTTTTGGAGCATTCTATATCTGCCATCGGCCGGGACAGGCACCCAGAAAGGTAAGCATCCCAAAACAAACCCTCTATTCTGGTGAAAACGACAAAAATAGACAAACGAGTGGCCAGAACTCCCCAGATGAAAAGGAGAAAACAAGATGACGTCACACAAGCCGCACATCTGCGCAGCTCCCCCCTCCCAGGGAGGGGCAGCTGGCGATCCACACCCCCAGTTCTAAGGCTGGATATCAAAATACGCGAAAAAACGCCGACCGGAGGGAGGGAGGGAGGGTTGCCGGGCGAGCCTCCGGGACTCGCCCAGAAAATGGCGTTTCATTATGTTCAACGCTGGTTTTCTGGGGGAGCCCCCTATGGCTTCCCGGAGCTAATTCACCAAAGACGAAAAGAAAGGGACATACCCGAGAGGCGGTCAGTGCTCACATCTCAACTCGAAGTAGAGACAAATGGCTGCAACCGCCAACCCAAGGCAACACAGGCTTGACGAGGCCCAAGAACAGTCACGAGGAAACGTGCAGCCAGGACCCTGCTCGACAGTGAAAAAAACCTGAATGTCAACCCAAGACATGTTACCCAAGACGGTAGCAAGAGCAGCAAACTTACAAATGTCATGGGCACGGGGAAAGACAGCAGGCGGGCTAGCTAGACTTAAGAATCCTGCGGACGCCCTGAGAGACCCGTACCGCGAACAGGGAAGAAGGGAAACCGGATCAACCCACTGCGCGTCCTCGGACACAGAAGCCGTGGCGCGCATAGCCGAAGAACTGGAGGTGTGGATTGCCGGCGCGGGGGTCTGGGGCTCTCCCTTCCCCCTGGGGTTCTGGCCGTGGTCCCCAGTAGGCCTAGAACTCTACCCACATCGACTGAATCCAAAAGTTCGGGTATCCTTATCAGCCTTGATAGTTCCGGAAAGTTGTAGGGGGTTCCCCCAGAAAAGTGGTCTTTAACTTAACATTTTCAATCAGTGTTTTTTGGTATGATGGCATCATGACATAGTCCAAAACTCATCTAAATAATGATTTTTATGTAGTAGTAGGCATCCATCAGTCTCAGGAGACTATGGAGTTGCGCTCTGATTGTCGGTCTGGAGTGGCCTCTCCAGGGTTTTGCGCCCTGGAGAGCTTTATGAATAATAACAAGATTAATAATTCATTTTTAAAATGTAGCGAGTAATCCTTATACTCGCTCCATTATCTCATTATCTTAATGGCATAACTAATTAGCACTAACTACACAAGCTATAATCCTATCCCTAATTACAGGTAACAGTTCTCACATCCTGCTATCCTAGTAGAGAAAGGTGAGGGGTAGTCACCAATACTGTATAAGGAAGCGATATGAGAATAGACAACAGTACAATTTCCAGTCAAGAATGTAGCACTCGGCGTAGGCAGTTCTAATTGTCTCCAAGACGCTACAGCTTCGACACAGAACAGGCAGCAGACTACGACCACATAGAGCTACAACGCTCTCCCACATAGAGCTCCGCGACTCCGGCCACACTCAGCTCTCTGCTCTGCTCCAAGCTCCGTCTCAACGTCTACGACACTGCTGTATCCAGGACTACTAAATAAATATGAAACTCACTAAACACTGTGTATCTAATCCACTCAACAACGTAACAATCGTACGTTACAAAATTAATGCCCAGAAAAATATAAAATATTGTTATATTGTGGAGATTCATAAGCACAATCCAATTCTTGTTAATTTCTAGTGAAAAATCATCAATTGATATGAGCCATATTGCCTTGGGGGCTAAAAATTTGTTTGTGTTGCATAAAGTTTTTAACATATATAAAGTAGTTAATAAGATATCTATAATACCTTTACAAATAAGAACCCAAAAATGCACTCTCAGCAAATGGGAGATGTACAGTATTTTATTTCAAAGACAGTTGTGGCGGGAAGGAATAGAAAATTACTCATTTATCTATGTGTCCTCTATCTCCCTTTGCTACTCCCTGCCTTACCTTGAGGTTACCTTGAGGTGCTTCCGGGGCTTAGCGTCCCCGCGGCCCGGTCGTCGACCAGGCCTCCTGGTTGCCGGACTGATCAACCAGGCTGTTGGACGCGGCTGCTCGCAGCCTGACGTATGAGTCACAGCCTGGTTGATCAGGTATCCTTTGGAGGTACTTATCCAGTTGTCTCTTGAACACTGTGAGGGATCGGCCAGTTATGTCCCTTATGTGTAGTGGAAGCGTGTTGAACAGTCTCGGGCCTCTGATGTTGATAGAGTTCTCTCTCAGAGTACCTGTTGCACCTCTGCTTTTCAAAGACTGCCAGTAATACTTTTTTATAATAATATAGCAGTAATACAGTAATAGTAAATAGTATAGTAATATAACACTAAGCAGTAATACTGTCAGTGTTTGAAGTAAAGGACCCAGAATTACAGAAAAGTATTCTGAATTCATCTATAATCTGGTTGTAATGCATAAAAATACAGTAAGTATATCGAGATTTGTCTAACAAGTCGGGTACAGAATGCCAAAATGGATAACTCAAGGTAGATCAAGAAGTTTCCTAGAGTGGACAGGATAGGTGCAAGAATGTGAGGGGGTGCATCTAGATACTTACTGTCAGGGAGATCCTTTTCAACCTGTCTCTTGGAAAGCACCCAAATGTATTGGCTAACACTCTTGGAATGATGTGGAGATGTTACAGTAATTTGACTTGAAGATAAAATGCTGGTCTGACTTGGAAAGCGATCGTTAGCCTGAGCTATGGATGAGTAATTATCTTGACTTGCAGTTGAGTCAATGAACTGACTTGAAGATGACTCCATAATCTGTCCTTGGTGTGAGTAATGGATTTGGTCTGAATGTGAGTCAACAGTTTGACCTATGGATAGGTCAATATCTTGGTCCAAATGTGTTTCAATAACTTGAATTTTCAACGAGTCACTAAGCTGATCTGAAAATAAATTAGCAATTTCACCTGTGGATAAGTCACTAATCTTTTCTGAGGATGAGTCAGTGACTTGATTTACAGACAAGTTACTAACCTGGCTTGATCGTAAATCAGTGCTGTAACTTGTAGATGATAATGCAACTAAAGCTAAGCCATTTGCCTTGTTTGTAATAAGGCCATTGTATTGACCAGGCTTTGACCCAGAGACAAGGTGGGTGGACGGACCAGTTACCAGTCTTATTGGTTTAGGGCAGAAAGCCATTCTGTCTATGGCAGATGCCGTGGAAACAGTTGGTGTGCACTTAGTGAAGTATGATGAAGGTAGGATGGCGTAGGTTGGGGAAACGATGGAATAAGAAGCAGATGTGTCAGCATAGGGTGTAGACCTCGGGACAAAGGCTGTAGACTTGATAATATCAGGTGTTGATGTTACAGGCTGATGTGATGTTGTAACATGTTCTTCAGAACGGTTGGAGAAGGGCTGTGAGGCTACCAAGATTGGCATCAGTGGTGTCTCTTCGGTTCCTTCACACTGCGGTTAAATGAAAACAGAAGATGTTTTACAGTTATTTGGTAATGGCCATTTATGAAATTTCGCATATTGCCTTTTTATATACAAAAGCTTAATAAAGGAACCTCTAAAAATATCTAAACTCACCTAGTATATGTGACCTTCCTAGTGTTGTTTAGTGGTATTGTATACTGTATATTAATATAAATTGTAGAAATAAACAGTACAGCTCTGGCTTAAAGCCACATGCAGTATATGTCATAACACTGGACTAAGATATTGAACACAATGTTATAGAAGCTAAAACACCAGTCTTACAGTTCTGGAAGATTGCGTGTGGTCGGCGGTACGGAAGATCCTGGAAAAGGCCCAGAGGCGCCAGGCAATGAGAGAGTTCATGAGCACAATGAGGACAAAAGGGAGGAACACCATCACGACAATCTCGGCCAGATTCAGTACCATCACAACTCGCTGGTACTCTGGGTAGAATCCGCACGTCTCTATCTGAGCAGCAGGGAGCACATGGGTCACAGAGGTAGTGCTAAAACTAAACACAAGGTCAGGGAGTTAATAGAAGCATAATGTTTAGGACCAGATGGGCACAAGGTTTAGGACCAGATGGGCACAAGGTTTAGGACCAGATGGGCACAAGGTTTAGGACCAGATGGGCACAAGGTTTAGGACCAGATGGGCACAAGGTTTAGGACCAGATGGGCACAAGGTTTAGGACCAGATGGGCACAAGGTTTAGGACCAGATGGGCACAGGGTTTAGGACCAGATGGGCACAAGGTTTAGGACCAGATGGGCACAGGGTTTAGGACCAGATGGGCACAAGGTTTAGGACCAGATGGGCACAAGGTTTAGGACCAGATGGGCACAGGGTTTAGGACCAGATGGGCACAAGGTTTAGGACCAGATGGGCACAAGGTTTAGGACCAGATGGGCACAGGGTTTAGGACCAGATGGGCACAGGGTTTAGGACCAGATGGGCACAGGGTTTAGGACCAGATGGGCACAAGGTTTAGGACCAGATGGGCACAGGGTTTAGGACCAGATGGGCACAAGGTTTAGGACCAGATGGGCACAGGGTTTAGGACCAGATGGGCACAAGGTTTAGGACCAGATGGGCACAGGGTTTAGGACCAGATGGGCACAAGGTTTAGGACCAGATGGGCACAAGGTTTAGGACCAGATGGGCACAAGGTTTAGGACCAGATGGGCACAGGGTTTAGGACCAGATGGGCACAAGGTTTAGGACCAGATGGGCACAAGGTTTAGGACCAGATGGGCACAAGGTTTAGGACCAGATGGGCACAAAGTTTAGGACCAGATGGGCACAAGGTTTAGGACCAGATGGGCACAAGGTTTAGGACCAGATGGGCACAGGGTTTAGGACCAGATGGCACAAGGTTTAGGACCAGATGGACACAGGGTTTAGGACCAGATGGGCACAAGGTTTAGGACCAGATGGACACAGGGTTTAGGACCAGATGGGCACAAGGTTTAGGACCAGATGGGCACAGGGTTTAGGACCAGATGGGCACAAGGTTTAGGACCAGATGGGCACAAGGTTTAGGACCAGATGGGCACAGGGTTTAGGACCAGATGGGCACAAGGTTTAGGACCAGATGGGCACAGGGTTTAGGACCAGATGGGCACAAGATTTGACATCTAAATGACAAGGTCTGACATCAGAATAGCCTTATTTAATATGTTTTTAATTTATCACAAACATATGGTGCTAAATATAACCTATACATTTTCCTACTGTACATGGTTACTTATTAAATACATGTGTACATTTTTTATGATGGACAATGATTATGATTTTTTTTTTTTTTTGAGATATATACAAGAGTTGTTACATTCTTGTACAGCCACTAGTACGCGTAGCGTTTCGGGCAAGTCCTTAATCCTATGGTCCCTGGAATACGATCCCCTGCCGCGAAGAATCGTTTTTTCATCCAAGTACACATTTTACTGTTGCGTTAAACAGAGGCTTCAGTTAAGGAATTGCGCCCAGTAAATCCTCCCCGGCCAGGATACGAACCCATGACATAGCGCTCGCGGAACGCCAGGCGAGTGTCTTACCACTACACCACGGAGACTGTAATGTACCGAGACATATTTAAACTTACTTTTAATGGAGCACTCTTTATTAGCCATTCTCAAATGCTGTACCAGTTTCAATAGTTATTCTAATGTGAAACATTTGCCCTCATCAGCACTAGAATCACCAATATAGCTTGTTTAAGAAAGGAAAAAATAAAAGAGATCCAAACTGGTTCCATCAGTATACTGACCCTAGTGGCAAGGAGACCTACACACGTCACCAAGTGTATTTGCTCTGATTTTAGCCTGAATTACATACTGTAGTTACAAATCACTATTGTGAATTTCATTTTGTATGATCATAGGGACATGCAGGAGAATAGGTCTCTGGTCACTTAAGTGGAGCCAAGCACGTTTAATAACGTAGGTTTGGTAATGCCTAAGGATCTCCAGTTTCCTTCCTTTTAACTGTTCAATGAATCAGTGGTGAAAGCAGCAGTTCTTTATAATATACAGTACTCATAAATGTTGCTATTATCCAACATTTACTTAACATCTTTCCATGACATTTTCAGTGTCATTTTCTCATTATCAAGTTCATCTCTTTCCAGTATCTCACATGCATCTATTTGAATTCCAGGGAATTTGTATTCATGTATAGTATAGGGACAAAAAACCAGCATTGAATGTAATGAAACGCCATTTTATGGGTGAGCCCCGGAAACTCTCTGGAGCTATCGGACTCATATTCGCTATATTAGTCTGAGGGCTTCAGTCAATGGAGTTCTGACTACCATGGACCATGAGCCAGAGCCTGGCCCCCTTAGAGAGGCACAGAGAGCAAGGCCTATGGAAGCCACTATGTGTTTGGGAGCATTCTATGTCTGCCATCGACTGGGGTTAGGCACCCAGAAAAGTAGGCATAACAAAACAAAACCCATCTGGTGAGAAATTGCAACCGAAGACTGAACAAAGAGACAGAACTCCCCAAAAAATAAGGAAACTAGCAAACAAGCAAACGTCATTCACTGCTGTTTGTCTATGCAGCCCTTCCCTCCCTGGGAAGGGGAGGAGGGAGCCACGGACCCCCCATGCCTGCAACTCACATCTCAGTTCGGAGGCTGAACATCAAAAAGGAAACTGCCGACCAGAGGAAGGGAGCGTCCGGGGCTCACCCAGAAAATGGAGTTTCATTACATTCAACACTGGTTTTCTGTGGGGAGCCTCTCTGGCTCCCTGGAGCTACATAACCTAAGACAAGTAAAAGAGGGATTTGCCCGGGAGGCAGCCGCAATGCGCATATCAACTGAAAGGCAAGACAACTAGCTGCAATCTGCGACCCAAAGCTACACATGAACGACTAGGACCAGGTACATTTACCAAATAACGGGTGGCCAGGACCCTGTTCGACCTGTGTCCGTATGTTAGACCAAGACATGTTGCCAAACACGGCAGCCAAAGCAGCATACTTACGAACGTCATGGGCACGAGGACAGACCACAGGCTGGCTAGACCCAATAACCCTGAGGACGACCTGAAAGCCCTATTCCGAGCCTTGGAATAGGAAACGAGGGAAATCGGATCAACCCAAAGCGTGTTCCCACCCACAGAAGCTGAAGCGCGCAGTTAATGGCGTAAAGTCGCAACCGGACACAACACATGATGCACCCCCGGACTGACCAACCAAGCATCAATGACCTACAGGCCCCCTCTGGAAGCCCGCCGTCTCATTCTTTGCCAGACATGAAGGAGACGGCTGCAATCAAACAAACCGACCACCAGGACCGAAAGAGCAGAAACCCCTGTGCTAGAGGAGAGCATGAAGCTCAAAAACCCGACCCCTAGAAGCCAATGCCAACAGAAACAGAGCCTTGGAAAAATAATCTTGAACCGAAGGGACCACTACAAACCAAGGCGAAGAAAGAAAAGAGAGCAGTCCAAGGACCAGGACAGCTCAGGCAGCACATGAGCAGGCCGGAGATGAAACAAAGCACGAGAAAGCTTATGGAACGGGGTGGAAGTGACATCCACCCCGAACACAAGCTGAAGCAGTTCTGCCAGCACCGCACCATAAGAGGCGACAGTATTGGGCATCAAATGACGGTCCTGAAAGAGCTAAGAAAGAAAGGACAAAACAACTCAAACAGAAATAGAAGACAACCTACGAAGTGAGAGGAAATGGCAAAATGAACACCAGGAAACTTCATACTGTCGCCTAGACAAAACTCGCAAGTGGGACACCATCAATGAAGCCCATATAAATGCTGATACACCCGCGTCAAACAGACCAGATGCGAAGAGCGGAAGAGTAGACCGAACAAGCCATGTACCGTCTGATCTGCTGAAAGAGGCTGAGCCGCGGAAAATCTCCCGGGTTCGGACACCAAGCAAGCAGCACCTGAAACCAAGGCTGGGCTGACCTTGGCTGGCTAGGTAACTCCACCTCGACCATTCCTGCGAAAAGTTGTCCACCGCGACAGCTCTGCAGTCGGGAAAGGTCGCCACATATATCAGGAGACGCCGGGACCACGCCAACGTGAAGAGGTCCACCTCTGGAAGCCCGAACATCCAACAGAGCCAACTGAAGGAGTCAGCGTCAACTGTCCATTCCGTGGACTGGGGAAATGAACCGCGACAGTCCGTCTGCCAGGATGTTGGACACTACCTAGATGTGAACCGCATGGAGAGCCAAACTCTGAGAATCCAGCAGATGAGTGACTCAAAGTGACCAACCCCAGAGAGCCAAGGCCCGAAGAGAACCCCCGCGGTTCAGACAATGAACCACTGGAGAACAGTCTGAATGGAGCCGGATTGTAGAGTCCCAAATGACCCGAACCCCTCCGAATCAAGAGCCAAACCATCACGAACTCCCGCACCGTGCTGTGAGCCCGACGGAAGGACAGAGCCCACCATCCCTGGCCAGCCTGGTGGGTACTGGTCACAAAACCCCAGCCGAGAGACGAGGCATCCGTGAACACACATCGATCGAGGGCTCGAGTAGGTGCCAAGGCACTGAATCTGAAAAACCCGAAGAGGAAGCCGGCGACACAGCAACCGACGCAAGGCCCCAGAAGCCGAACCCAGTGGTCGCAAGAGAGGCGGAATGGATGGCCCCGAAGGAACCAAAACCGATGCCGAAGCCATACCCGACCCGGTAGTTAAACTAGCACGGCAAAGTTCAGACTCCCGCACAACTCCTCAAGCAACCATTGAGTGACCCGGGAATCCCCAGAAACAGCTGAAGGTGGGACTGCAGTCGCAGCAACACCACAGGAGGGAGAGACACGGAAGTGGTCCAAGAGACCCAAACAAGGCCCAGCCAGGTACTAACCTAGGACAGAACCAGATGGGACGTCCTCCAATTCACCAGGAACCCGAACTCGGTGAGCTGGAAAAGAACCGCGTCTCTGGCGAGCAAACAAGCAGATCAGCTAGGAGCCCACACCAACCAGTCGTCGAGGTAGGCCAGAACCCGAATTCCTAGCAGATGCAAACGGGCCACCACGGCTCGGGTAAGATGTGTGAATACGTGAGGTGCCAGATTAAAGCCAAAAGGAAGGCAACGAAAGTGGTATGCCTGCCGCCCAACAACGAAACATAACCAGTCCCTGAACCCCGGACGAATAGTGACGTGTCAATATGTATCCCAGAAATCCAGAGACACCATGCAAGAACTGTGCTCCAAAAGAAGCTGCACCCGAGACAGAGTGGCCATCCGAAAGGAGGGGCGAGGAATAAAGGGGGTTCAGACAGGATAAGTACAGAATGAACCAAAGATCTGTATAGCCCCGTTTCGGCACTGGAAACAGGTGAAAACCCCACACGCTGCAGGACATGACCCGAAACGCCCACAAATTGTGGGAACAGGCGTGAGCAAACAGCACAAGCCTCCCCCATCTCAGCGCCCCATCAACGGTGCGACCTGAGAAAGGGCGCGATGCCCCTTACGAGAAGCCGGCCAAGCAGAGCAAGCACTGCGCCGACCAGACAATGTTGGCTCCAAAGGATGCGCCGGTACCGACAATTCCAATATAGGACGGTAACTAGACGAGGCGGACTGCAGAAACTTTGTGACAGCAGTCACCGCAAACAGCAATGGACAAAAAAAGGAGATGAAAACCAAAGAGCCAGGGCCCAAGCAGATTCCAAGGAGAGGGCGAGCACAACCTGGTGACACACAAGGCAAGAGGCAAAGAACAGTGACAAATGTCTTGGACTGATATCAGAGCTTGGGGATTTTGGAGGTCTAACAGGGTCCTGGTGGCTCAATATCTGGTGGGTAATCCTGGTCTCCATTGGGTTTGTGTTGCTTTGGATAGGATTTTCCTTCCTGATTTCTCCTCTTCAGGGATTTGATCTTTGATCTCCTCCGCCCTGGTATGTCTCGGTTTCCTTCTCCATGGTTAGTTAGCTACAGGGAGCCACCATTTGGCCCATCCAGAAAAACCACAGTTGAGAGTAATGAAACACCTGGTTGGGGCTCGATGGCTCCCTGGTCCCTCTCTTCACTGCTATATGTCTTGGTGTATTTTCTTAGGCTCCGGAATGAAGTACAGTGTGTTGAAACAGGGAGCAATTAGCTCCCAGTGGTGCTGTCACCTGGTAGTAGCCAACTGTAACTAGGAGAGGAGGTTTGACCAAACAACGGGGTGGATAGTTTGCGAAGTCATTTGCTGCTTGATGTCTTAATTTTCTGGGAACCTTACAGATGTCTGTTTTGCTTTGCTGACTTTCTAGATGTTTCTTCAGTGAGGGTGAGCAGATCACCTGTTCCTTGCTCCTGTGTAAGAGGGGAAAGGTGGGGGGTGGCATGTTTCTGGCTCTGGTCTCCAGTAGGCTATTCAGGACTCCTAAGGCTGATGTACTCTGTGTGAAGCTATCTCAGTGCGACTTACTACAGGGAGCCATTATTCCGCCACTCCACAAAAGACATACCTAATGGGATGATGCTTAATGCCCCATGACAGTGTTTTAGAACTATTTATTCTTTCTTTCTTCGTTTTAAATACTGGCAGCAGACTCTGGCATTGACAATTCCTCTTGTATAGAAATCTCTGCACTACAGTACAGGTACCTGTACTTCTATTTACCTTGATCTGGACTGGTGGGTCCTCGACAACCTCCGTAACAGCAATGATTTTCCCATTATTTTGTCCCTTAGTCTTTCTATTCCACCTCTTCCTTTTCTTCAGTGGGGTTTTGACAAAGCAAACTGGACACTCTTTATGACCATCTCTGTACACTGCAAGTTACATTTTCCTGTTCCTGAATCTTGTCTTAAAGCTAACTTTACCTGATGTTTCCCTCTGCTTCATCCCATGTTATGCCTCCCGCATCACAAGAAATTGCTTGTTGGTGTAATTCATACTGTATAATTCACTATGTCGGGGGACAGGATGCCAGAGTGTATTCATTCACGTTTGGCTTTTATCTATCTATTTTATCTTTATCTTTTATTTTTATCCCCCCCCCCTCCCCAAGGCCGAATTACAGACCCTGCCCAGGGTCTGTAATTCCCAACCCCACAACAAACTGACTAATTCCTGAGTACGTACTCACTGCTAAATGAACAGACGCATTAGGTGAAAGGAAATGGGCCCAACTATTTTTGTCCCGCCCGGGATTCGAACATGGAATTCTGGAGTGTGCGTCGAGAACAAACCCGACTGTACGTACTACTGGGACCCTGTAGTGTATACGTGTTGCCCGCTGTATGGGCACAACTTGCAAGTAACACTGACTCCAGACATCCTTCATTATGCTTAAACAAACACCTAGTGCTGTGACCTGCAGGATCACTTGTTCATCTAAACAAGAAGGTTGGCAATCTTATATCTCCACTATCACAGCTAACACCCCCCCCCCCTCCTCTCCTCCCATTATCTGGAAATGCAAGAGTACATGTAACTTCATTCCTAATATGGGGCCCATCTTTCTTCTTCATGTTTCTGTTATTGCTAAGCGAATGTCAATTACAAATGAGCTCCCTTGGAATTGAGCACATAGCTCTGGCACTCTTACAATTTCTTAACTTTGTCTGAACTTTAATGTGCTTTGTCTTTTCGCCACTCACAGTACTGGGCTCCGATGTGGGGGGTTTATAAGCCGTTCTGTCATCTCCCTCTCTCTAATTCTACCGTACTGATTACATTTATTTATTTATTTATTTATTTATTTATTTATTTATTTATTTATTTATTTATTTATTTATTTATTTATGCATATACAAGAAGGTACATTGTGAATGTGAGGATACATAATATGGTAATTACAGTCTTGTGAAGCCACTAGTACGCGCAGCGTTTCGGGCAGGTCCTTAATCTAAGAAAATTTTAAGGAGGTAAATACTTGCAAAATTTATAGACAAAAAAATTATAACAGTTACATGGAATGAAAAAAAGAAGATGAGAGAAAATTGTAGGTACAGTATATTAAAGCACATAGGTAGCTAAGATTGATTGCAATGACAGCTTGAATGGTAGTTGACAAAAATTGGTAGTCACAATACAGCATATGGCTAGCACATAAAGAAGACAGCAATGAACACAATGATAAGGTTGTTTGATACTACATAAAAATTAGGAGATTGGGTACCACTAGGTACAGAGCAAATTTAAAGCTCAGTGTAGGAAACTAAGAAGATAAAATTAGGTGCTTTTTGGTTTTGCTTTTAAATAAGGCAAAAGTTTTACAGTTTTTCAATTCACTAGGGAGTGAGTTCCATAGACTAGGTCCCTTAATTTGCATAGAGTGTTTACACAGATTAAGCTTGACCCTGGGGATATCAAAGAGATATTTATTTCTTGTGTGGGGATAATGGGTCCTATTACATCTGTCCAGGGAGAGTTTCAGAGCAGGATTTGCATTTAAGAACAAGGTTTTGTAAATGTAGTTGACACAAGAGAATGTGTGGAGGGAGTTAATATTTAGCAAGTTAAATGATTTAAACAAGGGAGCTGAGTGTTGTCTGAAAGCAGAGTTTGTTATTATTCTGACAGCAGATTTTTGCTGTGTGATGATGGGCTTAAGGTGGTTTGCAGTGGTAGACCCCTATGCACAGATACCATAATTAAGATAGGGATAGATTAGTGCATAATATAGTGAGAGGAGAGCAGAGTTAGGAACATAATATCTTATTTTAGAGAGTATACCAACTGTTTTAGAGACTTTCTTAGTTATGTGTTGAATGTGGGTGCTGAAGTTGAGTCTCTTGTCTAGGAATAGGCCAAGAAACTTGCCATCATTTTTATTACTGATGTTAATGTTGTCTATCTGTAGCTGAATTGCATTTGATGATTTGCTTCCAAATAAGATGTAGTAAGTCTTTTCGATGTTTAATGTTAGTTTGTTCGTTGACATCCATAAGTGGACTTTTTTTAATTCATTATTCACAACATTATTTAGTGTTGAGTTTCAACATTATTTAGGGTTGAGGTCTGAAGAGATAAGGGTAGTATCGTCAGCAAACAATATAGGTTTGAGAATATTAGAGACATTAGGCAGATCGTTTATATATATAAGAAATAGAAGAGGTCCTAAGATACTGCCCTGTGGCACTCCAACGGTAATTGGTAGAGTGGAAGAAGTTGTATCATTGATGGTTACATATTGGAGTCTGTCACTAAGATAGGATCGGATGTAGTCAAGGGCAAGGCCTCGGATTCCATAATGCTGGAGTTTAAGTAAGAGGTAGTTGTGATTAACAGTATCAAAGGCTTTTCTTAGGTCAATGAAGAGTCCAATCGGAAACTCATTTTTGTCAAGGGCTGAGTAGATAACGTCAAGGAGACTAATGATTGCATCGTTGGTGCTCTTTTGGGACCGGAAGCCAAACTGGCAGGGGCAGAGTATGTCGAATTTTACGAGGTAGGAATAGAGCTGTTACATACAGTATATACTTGAACATACAGTATATGCAGTATTTATAACTAGTATACCTGAGATATACGAGTATTAGCAGCCTGAGAAATGCCCACATTAGCAGTTTGAGGTACACCAAAACTAGAAGACAGAGCTACTGTGTACCCATATTACCAGCCAGAGATATACTGAACTTACATTAGCAGATGTGCCATGTGTGACGAGGAGGTAGAGGTAACTGAGGGAAGTGACCAACACAATGACGCAGATGGTCCACTTGGCTCGACCCACCGTGCAGATGGTGGACCGCCTCAGAGGGTACTGGACAGCGATACACCGCTCCAAGGTATAGGCCACTGTCAGCCTGCATCAGTGATGTGTAAATACAGACATACGTACACTGATAAGTGGATTTAATTTCACACGCACACAAACATGTACCATAGACACAGACACACACACGCACACAAACATGTACCATAGACACAGACACACACACACAATGATCCGGACAAATTAAAGTATGATCCTTCAAGTGCTACAGAAGCTTGGCTAATATAAGAATTGCCTTTAAGAATCTGAATCGAGTCGTTTAGGATTTCGTATATACAGTACTGTAAATGATTTGAGTCAAACCAATTCTAGAATATGCAGCACCAGAGTAAAGTCCTTATCTCGTTAAACACAAAACAAAGCTAGAGAAGGTTCAGAGGTATGCTACCAAACTAGTCCCAGAGATGAAGAATAAAGTAAAGACTAAATGGGATAAACCTCACTTCACTGGAAGAGAGAAGAAACAAGGGGAGATATGATTACCAAATACAGAATATTTATTTGTGTAGATAGGCCAGACAATGATAGAAGATTTATCATGTCACTAACACGGGGATACAATATAGAAACTAAGTAACCAAATAAGCCAGGGGCCAGATTCACGAACGTACTTACGCAAGTACTTACGAACCTGTACATCTTTTCTCAATCTTTGGCGGCTTTGTTTCCAATTATTAAACAGCTAATGAGCTCCGAAGCACCAGGAGGCTGTTTATAACAATAACAACAGTTGATTGGGAAGTTTTCATGCTTGTAAAATGTTTAATAAATGTAACCAAAGCCGTCAAAGATTGAGGAAAGATGTACACGCTCGTAAGTATTTGCGTAAGTGCTTTCGTGAATCTGACGCCAGATAGACAGTAGAAAGATCTTTCTGTGTAAGGATAGTGAAATGGAATGCATTAAGAAGTGAAATGGTAGAGACAAACACAGTAGGTTATCTTGAGGTTATCTTGAGATGATTTCGGGGCTTTAGTGTCCCCGCGGCCCGGTCCTCGACCAGGCCTCCACCCCCAGGAAGCAGCCCGTGACAGGTGACTAACACCCAAGTACCTGTTTTACTGCTAGGTAACAGGGGCATAGGGTGAAAGAAACTCTGGCCATTGTTTCTCGCCGGCGCCTGGGATCGAACCCCAGGACCACAGGATCACAAGACCCGCGTGCTGTCCGCTCGGCCCACCGGCTCCCTCTTCCAGTAGAGACAAATCCATACACACCTTTATAGAAATGTAAATATAACAGAGCCTAATAGACTCTGGAACCTATACACCTGTCAATTAAGTGTTAAAAGGCAGGACCTAAGAGCTGTAGTGCATACTTACAAAACTAAAATTTAGTTAGGTGAACACACACACATACACACACACACACACACACACACACACACACACACACACACACACACACACACACACACACACACACACACACACACACACACCTGAAAACAAACACACTCAACACCGTTAATACCTGAATACCTAAGATTTAATGTATACATTTAAAATATTACCTTTACTGAACACTGTTATTGAATGCAGTTATTGTTCCCTCTTCTGTCAACCTCCCCCCCCCCCCAGTCTTCCCTACCCTGCCTCCGTGTTCTTGCCAAAACAGTCACTCCACAAAACAGTCACTCCACAAAACAGTCACTCCACAAAACAGTCACTCCACAAAACAGTCACTCCACAAAACAGTCACTCCACAAAACAGTCACTCCACAAAACAGTCACTCCACAAAAGAACTGCTCCACAAGAGTTGCTCCACAGAGTGTTACCCCATAAAAGGGTCACCCCACTAAAGGGTCACCCCCACTAACGGGTCACCCCACAAAAGGGTCACCCCCACAAAAGGGTCACCCCACAAAAGGGTCACCCCCACAAAAGGGTCACCCCCATAAAAGGGTCACCCCACTAAAGGGTCACCCCCACTAACGGGTCACCCCACAAAAGGGTCACCCCCACAAAAGGGTCACCCCACAAAAGGGTCACCCCACTAAAGGGTCACCCCACTAAAGGGTCACCCCACAAAAGGGTCACCCCCACAAAAGGGTCACCCCACTAAAGGGTCACCCCCACAAAAGGGTCACCCCACTAAAGGGTCACCCCCACAAAAGGGTCACCCCACTAAAGGGTCACCCCACTAAAGGGTCACCCCCACAAAAGGGTCACCCCCACAAAAGGGTCACCCCACTAAAGGGTCACCCCACTAAAGGGTCACCCCACTAAAGGGTCACCCCACAAAAGGGTCACCCCCACAAAAGGGTCACCCCACAAAAGGGTCACCCCCACAAAAGGGTCACCTCCACTAAAGGGTCACCCCCACAAAAGGGTCACCCCCACAAAAGGGTCACCCCCACAAAAGGGTCACCCCACTAAAGGGTCACCCCCACAAAAGGGTCACTCCACAAAAGGGTCACCCCACAAAAGGGTCACCCCCACAAAAGGGTCACCCCCACAAAAGGGTCACCCCCACAAAAGGGTCACCCCCACAAAAGGGTCACCCCACTAAAGGGTCACCCCCACAAAAGGGTCACCCCCACTAAAGGATCACCCCCACTAAAGGGTCACCCCCACTAAAGGGTCACCCCCACAAAAGGGTCACCCCCACTAAAGGGTCACCCCCACTAAAGGGTCACCCCCACAAAAGGGTCACCCCACTAAAGGGTCACCCCCACTAAAGGGTCACCCCACTAAAGGGTCACCCCACTAAAGGGTCACCCCCACTAAAGGGTCACCCCCACAAAAGGGTCACCCCACTAAAGGATCACCCCCACTAAAGGGTCACCCCACTAAAGGGTCACCCCACTAAAGGGTCACTCTACAAGAGAGAAAGAGGTGTGCTACAAAAGAGAAAGAGGTGTGTGCTACAAGAGCGTCGCTCCACACTACTCCCACCACCTTTCACCTGTCCACCAATCCACCTGTCCACCAATCCACCTGTCCACCAATCCACCTCCCAAGTAATAACCTGTCCTGCTACAACCCCTGGCCTGCCCACCCCTGCCAATAATACAACATGTAAGTGGTGTAACTCTTCACTAAGTATACAGACTGAAATGTATTTATGCATGCTAATTGTAACACCTGTAAAAATAACATAACCAAAGATTCTGTGAGATGGGGATTCTGGATTAGGTGAATACATCTATGGCTCAGATCCCTTAACCCCCCCCCCCCTCCCCACACACACACACACACACATACAGATTAGGGTACAGTACCAGCACAGTGCTATATATTAATAATAATAATAATAATAATAATAATAATAATAATAATAATAATAATAATAATAATAATAATAATATTATTATTATTATTATTAATTAGTAAACTCTCCAAGAAACTAAAGCTTTTAATTTGTAACAGTATCAAATGGTGTTGTAGTTGAATGATTGCGTGTTGAGAACATAAGATAGAGAGGCAGTTGACAACAAGTCGATGATCAGAAGCAGATGGTTCTTACAACTCAACAAATGTTCAATAAAGTATAAAGTGGTTTGTTTAAAGCAGAAGTATAACAACTTAGGCAACCTACCTAATCTATCAAGGCCAATGCTCATAAGTATGAAGATGTATAAATTTTGTGGTGTTTTAAATGTTGCTAAAGAGCCAGAATTTCAATGCTGCCGTTTATGGCATCAACGTTAAGTGTGAGAAAAGATTCAGATCCCTTTGGTGCAAGGCAGAAATGATGTAATAACTTATGTGAATGTAAAAAAAGCAATATCCTAGTCCAGTACTATATACAGCATACATACCACACGCTGATACTGGTTGTAGTGGAACCGACATAATTGATGATCTTGCAGGCTGGGTCAGAATCAAGGAGTTCGAGGCGAAAGAGAGTGAAAGCGTCATGGTGGAGGAGCCATCTCAGCAGCAGCAGCAGCAGGAAAGTGGTGTCTGATGCAGCCATGGCTGCCAGGTAGTAGGAGGAGGAACGTCGTCGTAGACGGGTACGTAGAAACACCGCCCCACTTAGAACATTGCCCACCACTCCTGCAGGATCCCACATTGCCCTTGAGTTATACTCTATTGCCTCACCTTTAGCATCCCTGAACTATATTCCATAATTATGTCCATTCACATTACCGTACATCACCTCAACTGACAAAAGTCTTTGTACTTCATATTACAGCTCCAGAATTCCTCTCCTACTTTGCTTTTGGTTACCCATAGTCGGTGGCAGGATGCCTGTTAGTCTTATCGAGGTCCCCCTAGGCCAACTACTGTACTGACTTTCCTCCATCATGCAACCCACAACAGTTGCCTATCTCTCACACACCTATTTACTGGTAGGTAAACAGAGGCATCAGGTGAAATTAAATGTTGCCCAAATGCTCTTGTTATGTCATGGGAATTTAACCCAGAGTCATTCAGCTGTAACCTGACTACACATATCACTGTGCCACAGGATCCTCATACCATATTATTAGTTAATATATCCCTACCCCTATCTCTCTCTTGCAGTAGCCTCTCTCTGTATTTGGCTCAACCACCACAAATTTTCTCAAACATATCATCAAAGCAAAAATTACAACCACAAGTTATCTTCAGTCATCATGTATACAGCATTTTTGTTTAAATCTCAAATCAGCCTTAACACTCCTTATAAAGCCTTATACTGTACCGTATTGTACTCCAATGTTAAACTCGTTATAAAAAAAAGCATTGAATGTAATGAAACATCATTTCCTAGGTGAGGCCAGGAGGCTCCCCGGAGCTATCTGGGCTGATATGAATATATTAAACCGTGGCATCAGTCAAAGCGAATGGAGTTCTTGAGCCTACCGGGGACCATGAGCCAGAACCTGGCCCCCTCAGAGAGGCACGAGGATCAATGGCATATAGAAACCCACATGTGGTTGGAAGCATTCTATGTCTGCCATCAACCAGGCCAGGCACCCAGAAAGGTAGGCGCCCCAAAACAAACCCTACCTTAAACAATTGCTACTGAAAGCCGAACTGTTGGACAGAAATCCTCGAACTAAAAATGAGCAAATGAGCATGACGTCACAACCGTCACCGCTGTCTGTGCAGCTCCCCTCCCTCCCTGGGAGGGGGAAGGAGAAGCTCCTGAACCCCCCCCCCCCCCCCCCCACCCGCTATCCACCTCCAGTTTTGAGGCTGGATGTCAAAACCGCTGATCAGAGGGTGAGAGGGAGGGTTGCCGAGGAGCCTCTGGGTCTGACCCAGAAAATGGCATTTCATTATATTCAATGCTAGTTTTCTACTTAACCAAAGATAACACAAGAGGGACTTACACGGAAGGCAATCGCCACTTGTTCCTCAATTTGAAGTCAAGACAACTGGCTGCAACCCCAACCCAATGTGACACACCCTCAGCTAGGGCTAAGAATATTGACTAGATAGCAAGCGGCCAGGACCCTGTTCGCCCTCCAAAAACCCCGTGCCCGAATGTCAGCCCAAGACATATTACTAAAGACGGCAGCAAACTTACGAACATCATGGGCACGAGGATAGACCGCAGGCTGGCTAGACCGAATATCCCTGTAGACGACCTGGGAAACCCGAACCCTGGAACAGAAAAGAAGGGAAACCGGGTCAACCCAAAGCGCGTCCCCGGTCACCGAGGCCGTGCCCCGCAGACAACGGCGAAGAGCCACAACCGGACACAACACATGATGCACCCCCGGCCGTACCAACCAAGCATCAACAACCCATGGACCCCTCCTGAAAGCAGCAGTCTCATTCTTCGTCAGAAAAAAAGGAGACGGCTGTAAATGAGCAAACATCAGAACCAAAAGAGCAGAAACCTCTGCACCGGAGGAGAGCATGAAGCTCCCTAACCCAACCCCCAAAGGCCAGCGCCAACAGGAAAAGAGCCTTCGTAAAACAATCTTGAACCAAAGGGGCCATCACGATCCAAGGAGAAGAGAGAAAGGAGGGCACCCAGTCCAAAAACCAGGATGGCTCAGGCAGCGCATGAGCAGGCTAGAGATGAAACAAAGCAAGAGAAAGCTTATGAAACAGGATGGAAGTGACATCCACCCTGAACGCAAGCTGAAGTGGCTCCGCCAGCGCCGCATGATACGAGGCAACAATATTTGGCATCAAATGACGGTCCTGAAAAAGCCAAGAAAGAAGGGGAATGGCAACCCAATCAGAAATAGAAGACAACCTACAAAGTGAGAGAAAATGGCAGAAAAAACGCCAGGAAACTGCATACTGTTGTCGAGACGAAGTTCTCAGGTGGAACACCATCAACGAAGCCACCTGATCACCATACAAATGGTGATAAACCCGCGTCAAAAAGACCAGATGTGAAGAGCGGTGGAGAAGACTGAACCAGCCATGTACTGGACAGATCCGATCTCCTGGAAGAGGCAGAGCCACAGAAAATGCCCTGGGTGCGGACACCGAACAAGCAGAGTGTGATCAAGGCTGGGCCAGCCACCAAGGGGCCACTAGGAGAACTCTCCCCCAGTAAGACTCCAACTGAGCCAGAACCCAAAGCAACAGCTGGACTGGGGAGGAAGAGGTACAGGTAACCCCACCTCGACCAGTCCTGCCACAAAGCGTCCACCACGAAAGCTTTGCAGTCGGGAAAGAGCACCACATAGATCAGAAGACGCCGAGACCACACTGAAAAAGTCTACCTCCAAGAACCCGTACATCCTGCAGAACCAACTGAAGGAGTCAACGTCAACTGTCCATTTTATGGATAAGGAAACGAACCAAGACAGGCCAGCCGCCAGGATCTCCTGTCCTGAATATGTCCTGTCATGAATATGTCCATATCCTGAACCCGGATATGAACTGTACAGAGAGCCAAACCCCAAGAAACCAGCAGATGAGCCACTCGAAACGACCAGCTCCAAAGAGGCAAGGACCAAAGAGAATTCCTGCAGTTCAGTCAATGAACCACCAGAGAACAGTCCGAATGCAGCCGGATCGTTGAACCCTGAGTGACCCAAACCCTCTGAAGCGACAGCCAAACCGGCATTCCTGCACCGTGCTGTGAACACGACAGAAAGATGGACCCCCACCGCCCCTGGTCGGCCCGGTGAGCACTGGTCACAAAGCCCAAGCCGAGAGACAACGTGTTGGTAAACACATCGAGTGAGGGCTCAGGTAAGCGCCAAGGCACCGAATTCCCCCCCCCCCCCCCAAAAAAAAAAAAAAAAAAAAAAACGAGGAAGCTGGCGACACAGCAACCAACGCACAGAGGCCGAACCCAGCGCTTGCGAGAGAGGCGGAAGGGGCATCCCCGAAGGAACCAGAACAGACACCGAAACCAAAACCGACCCAGTGGATAAACCAGCACAGCGAAGTTCAGACTCCTGCACAACTGCTCGAACAATTGCCAAGTGACCAGGGACTTCCACAAAAACAGCTGAAGGCGGGACTACAGCCACAGCAATGCCTCTGGCGGGAGAGACATGGAAGTGATCCAAGAATCCCAACAAGACCCAGCCAGGTTCGAACCTGGGACGGAACCAGATGGGACTTCCTCCAGTTCACCAAGAACCCGAACCCTGCGAGCTAGGAAAGAACCACACCCCTGACGAGCAGACAAGCAGACCGGCTGGGAGCCCACACCAGCCAGTCGTCGAGGTAGGCCAGAACCCGAACCCCTAGCAGAAGCAGACGAGTCACCATGACCCAGGTAAGACACAAGAATACGTGAGGTGCCAGTCAAGCTAAAAGAAAGGCAATGAAAGCGGTAAGCCTGACATCCCACCAGCAAAACCTAACCAGATCCTGAACCCCCGGATGAATGGAAACGTGCCAATACTCGTCCCTGAGGTCCAGGGACACCATTCAGGCACCCGGCTCCAACAGAAGCCGGATCTGGGACAGAGCGGTCATCCAAAAGGAGTGTCAAGGAATCCAGGGATTCAGAAGGGACAAGCCAAAATGAACCACAGATCCGCACAGTTCCCTTTCGGCATTAGAAACAGGCGGGAAACAACCCCTGAGGGACGGGGTCGTTTCGACCATGCCCAAGCGCACCCACTCCAAGATGACCCGATAGAGCGCAGGGGAAGAAGCCTGCCCCACTAGCCCCGAACCCGCCGAAGGAGGAGGAGCTGCTCAACGCCACCAAAAGCCAAAGGAGACGACCCGAAATGCACACAAATCGTGGAACCAAGTGAGAGCAAACAGCACAAGCCTCCCCCCCATCGCCCAACGGGGCGACCTGTGAAAGGGCCGATGCCTCTTACGAGAAGCCGACCGACGAGCAGAGCAAACATTGCGTCGACCTGATGAAGCTTGCTCCGAAGGAAGCGCCACCTCAGAAGCTGGCACCAATAGCCCACCCTGACCAGCGAAACCCCGAACCCTGGCACAACCCTTCCGAGAAGGCTGAGAACGGCCACCCCGGAGAACCAACAAGTCTGATATAGAACGACAACTAGACGAAGCCGCCTGCAGAAACTGCATGACAGCAGTCACCGCAAACAGCAACGGACAAAATAGCAATGAAAACCTAAGAGCCAGGGCCCAAGCGGATTCCAAAGAGAGCCTGCCGGCACGCGAGGCGAGAAGCAAAGAACAGAGACACCGCCTCCTTGAGAATCGGCACAAACAGCTTCAAGAGCGCCGCTGAGACCAGCGCACCACACGAAGGCCCAGCACTCAACGCCCCCACATCCTCTTCAAGTCAGTCCGAGGACAGCTCGAGAAGGTAAGAGAAGCGCAAGACAGAAGCCAAATGCTCACGGGCATGCAAATCCTCAGCCGCCAAAAATGCAGAAAGGATAGGAACCTGCACTTGCAGCTGCACAAGGCCAACATCATGAGGAAGAACAGGGGCGAACAAGCATGTATTAAGGTGCTCAAACTCGCCCCCCCCCCCAGGTAAACCTGCAGAACCGTAGAACTTTCCCGCCATTCAAGCGTGTGCGGGTCCATCAAAACCCATGCCACGTCCCCAACGAAAAGAATAGGCAGTCTGCCAGTCAGGAAAACTCTGGAACCTCCAAATACTGTACACCCAATACAGGGAAGAAGAACTAAACTCAAACGAGGACGGATCCATCACAGTGGCAGAATCCGGGTCTCACAGGAGGTATGCAGCAAGCACCTCCCGAACCTCATTAGGTGAGATACGAGAAACAGAAAACCTCCGGAATGAAGAATTCGAGGAACCCAAGGGAACCCGAATCCAAACCCGGGGAGGAGCCAACCTCAAATCATACTCATACAGGGAAGGGGGGGGTAAGAAAACCCCTCCCCCTGCAACAACAAGCCCTGCAAAGAAGGCACCATAACCAAGCTGGGTCAAAAGGGGGCCTTACCCCCCCCCCCCCATTAATTCCTCTCCAGCTTCTGGATCCTCCAACCCAGGACCCAGGGCAAAGCAGTCCTTCATACCCTCTACCCTTGAAGAAAAGGCAGGAAAGAAGGGGGGCCTGCAGGTGGGACCTAGAAGCCTCGGCAGCAGGAACTGGCTCGAATGCCTCCGTCCCCAACCCAACAAGGGCAGCCCCCGAAGCCACCCAAGGCTCTTTACCAACTAAAGCCAGCCCGTGACTCCAAAACCCTTGGACGTTTGGAAGCAGGGTGAACAACAGTGGAAGGACCAGGGAGCGCAGATGGGACAAAAGTTAAAGGGACTAATTCGCCCAAGTCCGTGTACCTATAATCAAAATTGGGCAGCCTCGAGGCATCCGAGTGGGCAACCAAACTAGCGCGTTGCAGCAACCTAAACCTAGCATGCAACACGGATCCTGCCTGTACCCAAATATCAATGTCATCAGAATGGGTAAATTGGAGAACAAGCAGGCAACACTACTCACAAGACTCTGGGTCAAAGGTGTCGTTGACCCAACAGACAGCATGAGGGAGGTAAAAGCGGTGATTGTCACCCTGAGACAAGGGCACACAGCAACCTTCAAATTCGCACGAGGCGAGCTGGAACTTGGAAGACGCATCCATAGGTCTACCGAGCCCTGACAGGGTTTTCCAGGGGCCCGTAGGCTGACTGCTACGGCAAGGTGTTGCTGACTGGTGAGACCCAAAACTAACAAGGGGTATGATCAAAACACTGAAACCCCTGAGACGTGTACAATCACGGGGACCTAGCGGAGGGCCACCACAACAATGGCAGTGGACCAACAGCCACACAAGGCTAACAACCGCCATGCAAAGAAAACAAAAATTAAAAAGAAAATCCCGCAAAAGTACATCGTCCCCAGAGGAATCAGGAACTGGCCGCTGCGTAGGTAAGCTTGCTGCGCAACACCTCGATGCCTCAACCAGCAACAAAACAACTCCCTACCCAAGGCCAAACAAGGGCCCAAAACCCCAGCTGGCCCCAAGTGTGGGGTAAATGTAGAATAGCAAAAAAAAACTACGGAAATGGCGTCCCAAAGACACAAGGTAAGAGAACCCTAGCACTCAGGGGTAGTATTCACAGGGCACTTAGGGAATGCCGCCCTAAGCACATGCAGCCCCGGTAAACTTATTACACCTGGCAACCACACCACAATGTAGCAGAGAACACCACTAAGGCAAAACACTGCCAGGAAATCGAGGCCAGACTTGATGACCACCCCAGATCGCATTAGCCAATGAACTGGAGTTGTTTAGTAGCCGGCGCAGAGGGTCTGGGGCTCCTCCTTCCCCTTCCAGGGAGGTCTGAGGCTCTCCTTCCTCTCTCCCAGGGAAGTCTGAGACTCCTCCTTCCTCTCCCAGGGAGGTCTGAGGCTCCTCCTCCCCCTCCCAGGGAGGTTTGAGGCTCCTCCTTCCCCTCTCAGAGAGGGGAGGGCTGCGCGGACAAGTAGCGCGGTGGCGAGTGGTGACGTTTGCTTCTTTCCTTGGGATTTTGGGGAGTTCTGCCTCTGTTCGGTTTTTGGTTGCAATTTTCTTACTAAGTGGGGTCTGTTTGGTTATGCCTACCTTTCTGGGTGCCTAACTCTGGTCAATGGCAGATTAGAGAAACCCCCAACCACAGGGGGGGTTTTCCAGGAGCCATTGCTCTCTATGCCTCCCTGAGGGGGCCAGGTTCTGGCTCATGGTCTCTGGTAGGCTGAACTCCATTGACTAATGCCCCTAGTCTAATATATCACATATTAGCCCAATAGCTCCAGGGAACTGAAGGGGCTCCCCTCAGAAAAGGTAATGGAACCCATGAACATACCACAAGAAATAAGTACAAGTATAGCATGATATTGCCAAAGTCTCTTTAAATGTATGCACACACACACACAATGCATATATTAGAACCTAAAAATATGAAATTGATCGCCTAAAAAGTTAAACAAACTGTAAAATATTTACTTTATTCAAAGGTAAAGAGCATCTAATATCCTCATTATAGTACCTGAGCTTATGGTTTCCTTATCATGCAACCTGCAGTAGTAGCTCAAATTTACCCAAGAACCTGGTGCTGCTAATTCATCTAGTTGGCTTGATGTCAAAAATACTTTTTCTCCAGGACTGTACTAATTACATGAAGTACAGTACATTGCTTAAATCTTAACAGCAGCAACTGCCTATATGTTAACTACAGTATTGTATAATATTTAAGACTGGCTGTACTCTATTTCTGGTAACTTCTAAATCACTGCAAATTCTCAGTGCCCTTCTTAGTCATTATGTTAGTTTTAAGACTTGCCCAAAATGTTGTGTAGTTTTGTGGTTTTGAAAATATTACTGTACCTAACTTATCCAAATTAATTAAACTGTAGCTATCCACTCTATTAATATGAATATATTTAATACACATACCAAAAACCCAGTGCTGAATGAAATTAAATATTGTAAGTCTTTATGTTAGAGCCCCAGTAGCACCCTGAACCTTTCGTTGAGATTGTTTCACCTAAAGGGTTACATCTGTTGCAGGCGTTGTGTTTGGCCTACAAGGAAGCCAGAACCTGGTCCCCCCTCACTAGGGAGGAGAGAGCAGGTCCCCCCTTCCTGGGAGGAGGAAGGCAGAGAGAGCAAGTGACAAATTGCCACCACACCAGGAAGGTATCCAGAAAGTAATATGGTATCCCATATTACTTCCCCCAGCCAAGGCCTAAACAGAGGAGTCAAACACTCATGAATAGCCTAAGGTGAGACTTTACTCTATGGCCTGGGGCCAGATTCACGAAGCAGTTACGCAAGTACTTACGAACGTGTACATCTTTCCTCAATCTTTGACGGCTTCGATTACATTTATTAAACAGTTTACAAGCATGAAAACTTCCCATTCAATTGTTATAAACAGCCTCGTGGTGCTTCGGAGCTCAGTAACGGTTTATTAATTGTAAACCAAGCCGCCAAAGATTGAGAAAAGATGTACAAGTTCGTAAGTGCTTGCGTAACTTCTTTATGAATCTGGTCCCTGGCCTCTCAGGAGCACACCCTCATACACACGCAAGAATCAACTCTGTCGGTGCAAACAACAAAGGAAGGAGACCCTGATTACATGCAGCTCAAAGCACAAAAGAAGCCAAACCCACACAACAATCCAGAAAGAAAACATGCAAGTGAAGCTAATACTAAAATCAAAGAACAATATAGAAGCAAATGGTCCCAGCAGGATGAATAAAGTCCAAGGATGGCCGGCACTTAGCTTGAAACAGAGGGGTTTGCCTTGACAGACCAAAACACTACAGGTAGTATTAATTGCCATTACATCAGCGACATAACTGACCAGTGGAGCTAGCTGTGGATTCAGGCTGGGATGCCTGGTGGCAGCTACCAGTATTAATGAGTTTTAGGTTTAAGTGAACCTCTTGCTTTGTTAGAATTGCTTCAAGAGTTGTTTGGCAATTTCAAGACTTCATTTTCTGTGAACCATTCAGTTGTCTTTAAAACTTTGCCAATTCCCTGTGAGGGGGAGGGTGGAGCCAAGTATTGGCTCTGGTCTCCGACAGGCCAAACAAAACTCCTGTAACTGATGTGACCCTTTTGTTGGAGCAATTTCAGCGAGATAGCTTCAAAGAGCCACTTCGGTGCTCCCCCAGAAATATTACAAAACCCAATGTATCTTATTAATAAATATACCATAATCAATGATATACAGTATCCTGGAGGTAATTTAGTCTTTGACAATGGGCCAAGTGAAGGTATCTTACCCACAACGATGATAACCGGGATGTAGTAGACATGCAGGAAGTAAATCATCTCTGATTGAAATGGCCTCTGGTTCTCGTCCATCGTCACCCGAAGTACAGTATGCACGCCCTCACAAAATATACTGTAGAGACAATAATAACAATAATTTTAATAATATAGCATGTCCTCCAAAACTTATAATATATATAGCTACCATGGGTAGAATACAAACAAATTTCCATGTTTTAAACTAAATTTTGTAGTGCCCAAGAAAGATGGCAAAAACACAAACCTAACTTGTTCTGGGCCGAGCATAGTACTGTACAACATATAAATAGGCCAAGTGGGCCATTACCTACAGCCCACCATCAGCACCAGGGGCAGCAGTTGCAACATCAGGATCTGCGGGTTGGTACAAGAATTCAACCAACTACGAACCACTTAGTTTGATGAAAGGGAGCAGTAGAGCAACAGAAGTACACTTACATCGCATCAGGCTTGGATACCCATGTGCATGGGAAATAGGCTTACAGGTTCCGGAAGATGAGAGGAAATGTCAACACTGTGGAGAAATGCCCAACAGACCACTGGAACATTATCTAACAGTTCACAGTTACAAACCCATTAAGATTTCAATTTAGATTCAACAGAGCAGAAGAAGTTGTTAAACACATATGGCAAAATCTTACAGAAGTGACCATACGAGTCATAAATACTCATACTCCGCCCAAGTAAAACAGAAACAAGCAACACTTAGTGAGCCAGCCAGAGGCTTAGTGTCCGCGCAGGAATATCCCTGCGCAAAAAAAAAAAAAAAAAAACACCAGGGGGACCCACCAGCCCTTTTCCTGTACCATAAAATAGACAAATATAAAATAATACTTTGAGTAATCAATTATTTGGTAACACAGCCCCATTTTTTGTGTAATTCCTATACTGTACAGGTTGTCGTATGGGTTTTCAATGTTTCGCACAACTTACACATAACCTTGATAATTAATCATTACATATTTATGTGAAGCAAGGCTGTTGACCTGTTCTTTATACTGGATCTCAGCACTAGGGTAACTTTATTAGGCCTTTATGTAAAATTGGTTTTGACAGTCACACTCCCGATTGTCAAAATGATTGTCCAAAACTCCCGACACTCAGTTGTCCATAGAGGGTGGGTGAGTCAAATGTTCTGTCTAGGAACATGTTCCCTCCTCAAGTTTCACAATACTTGCTGGAAATTTTGCTTAAGTGCCCTTTGTTATTGTGCTCACTTTAATGAGTCCATTCATGTTATCAAGTCTACTTGCATGCCTCTATGCAAGCATACCAGACTGTCAATAAGGACAGGTAACAGTTGACCCAATGGACTACAGCAGGTGACTATGCAGCTGGAAATCAACAACAATCAGATGCTCATCACTACTATATAATTAGGATCAAAATATTTGGGTAGCATAGGTGAATCAAGCACCATTGAACAAGGGAGCATGCAAGACATGAGAGCAGAGCTGTCGGTGAGCACGACTCCGTAGTTTCTCATTAGTGAAGGCAGTACCTGTATACTACGGCACTGTATTTACACTTATTAACCAAGTCATGAAGAATGATCGAAGAGCTGTCACTGGATGACGTATTAGCCATTGCCACAAAAGTGGTAGGAAAATGGTACATAACTAGTAGACTTATAAAATATGCAAATACTGTACCTACTAAGTAGCCACTGTAATCTGATCCTTTGTGTATCTTATAATAAATAATAATAATAATAATAATGATACACAGAGAGTAATCACACTAACATGACTGCATCAGTAAGAAAATCCATAGGAGCCATGATGAGGGTTCGAACCTATGCGTTGAATGTTCCCCACTCACACGCTCTATAGCTACTAGACCATCACATGGTATAAGAATTGCAACCTGGCGTTCTACTGAACTATGTATTGAAAGAGGAGCATCAGAGGTAGAACATTCCAAGATGACAGAGCCAGAGTGTATGGGGGAAGTGTGTGAAAATCCTGGTCCAGCTTCAGGAAACCCTTGTATGTTCAGTAGAACTCCAGGTTGCAATCCTTATACCATGTCATGGTCTAGTTGTTAGAACGTGTGCCTGGGAACACCCACTGCATAGGTTCAAACCCTTATCACAGCTCCTATGGATTTTCTCAATAATAATAATATTATTATTTCAGTAATAGATTGTAATAGACTGTGGTGGGTTATGATGAACTGCGATGTGCTGTCATCGACTGTAATGAGCCAAGATAGACTAGTAGTTTTTGATAGCTGTAGGGAGTTATGAAATACAGTATTGAAGTACAGTAGATTAATTGACATACTGTGGTGGGTTTATTGTGACATACCATGGTGGGTCCTGATAGAATATGGCGAACTATGACAGAGTGAGACAGGCTGTGGTGGGCTGATATGACTGTGGTAAACTGTAAAAGGTTGTAACTTATGTGGTTCACTATGATGGTGTGTAGTGTGTATGGCAGACTGTGGTGGGCTACAGGTAACTGTGTCTGGCTGTTACATATGTGATAGTCTGTGTTGAACTGAATTTGACTAATTAGTTGTTAGAGCCCTCTGATAAATGATGGTTGTCTGGAGGAGGGACTGTGGTGGATTGTGAAAATGCATGATAACCATACAAAAAAATTTAGTGCATGATAATTGGCTGTGGAGAGCTGTGATACATCATAGTAGGCTCAAAGACTGTAGATGATTGTTATAGACAGTTGTAACAAAATGATTGCTTGTAAACTGAGGCTGGTTGATTGTCTGTCATGGTCTGACACACACTGTGGTGGGCTGTTAAAGTCTGTGCTCGGCTGTTGTGTGGTGCACTATGTAGTGTGGTAGGCTGTGACACAGTGTGGTGCACTATGTAGTGTGGTGGACTGTGACACAGTGTGGTGCACTATGTAGTGTGGTGGACTGTGACACAGTGTGGTGCACTATGCAGTGTGGTGGACTGTGACACAGTGTGGTGCACTATGTAGTGTGGTGGACTGTAACACAGTGTTGTGCACTATGTAGTGTGGTAGGCTGTGACACAGAGTGGTGCACTATGTAGTGTGGTGGGCTGTGACACAGTGTGGTGCACTATGTAGTGTGGTGGACTGTGACACAGTGTGGTGCACTATGTAGTGTGGTGGGCTGTGACACAGTGTGGTGCACTATGTAGTGTGGTGGACTGTGACACAGTGTTGTGCACTATGTAGTGTGGTAGGCTGTGACACAGTGTGGTGCACTATGTAGTGTGGTGGGCTGTGACACAGTGTGGTGCACTATGTAGTGTGGTGGACTGTGACACAGTGTGGTGCACTATGTAGTGTGGTAGGCTGTGACACAGTGTGGTGCACTATGTAGTGTGGTAGGCTGTGACACAGTGTGGTGCACTATGTAGTGTGGTAGGCTGTGACACAGTGTGGTGCACTATGTAGTGTGGTGGACTGTGACACAGTGTGGTGCACTATGTAGTGTGGTGGACTGTGACACAGTGTGGTGCACTATGTAGTGTGGTGGACTGTGACACAGTGTGGTGCACTATGTAGTGTGGTGGACTGTGACACAGTGTGGTGCACTATGTAGTGTGGTGGACTGTGACACAGTGTGGTGCACTATGTAGTGTGGTGGGCTGTGACACAGTGTGGTGCACTATGTAGTGTGGTGGACTGTGACACAGTGTGGTGCACTATGTAGTGTGGTGGACTGTGACACAGTGTGGTGCACTATGTAGTGTGGTGGACTGTGACACAGTGTGGTGCACTATGTAGTGTGGTGGGCTGTGACACAGTGTGGTGCACTATGTAGTGTGGTGGACTGTGACACAGTGTGGTGCACTATGTAGTGTGGTGGACTGTGACACAGTGTGGTGCACTATGTAGTGTGGTAGGCTGTGACACAGTGTGGTGCACTATGTAGTGTGGTGGACTGTGACACAGTGTGGTGCACTATGCAGTGTGGTGGACTGTGACACAGTGTGGTGCACTATGTAGTGTGGTGGACTGTGACACAGTGTGGTGCACTATGTAGTGTGGTGGACTGTGACACAGTGTGGTGCACTATGTAGTGTGGTGCACTATGTAGTGTGGTAGGCTGTGACACAGTGTGGTGCACTATGTAGTGTGGTAGGCTGTGACACAGTGTGGTGCACTATGTAGTGTGGTGGACTGTGACACAGTGTGGTGGACTATGTAGTGTGGTGGACTGTGACACAGTGTGGTGCACTATGTAGTGTGGTGGACTGTGACACAGTGTGGTGGACTATGTAGTGTGGTGGACTGTGACACAGTGTGGTGCACTATGTAGTGTGGTGGACTGTGACACAGTGTGGTGGACTATGTAGTGTGGTGGACTGTGACACAGTGTGGTGCACTATGTAGTGTGGTGGACTGTGACACAGTGTGGTGCACTATGTAGTGTGGTGGACTGTGACACAGTGTGGTGCACTATGTAGTGTGGTGGACTGTGACACAGTGTGGTGCACTATGTAGTGTGGTAGGCTGTGACACAGTGTGGTGCACTATGTAGTGTGGTGGACTGTGACACAGTGTGGTGGACTATGTAGTGTGGTGGACTGTGACACAGTGTGGTGCACTATGTAGTGTGGTGGACTGTGACACAGTGTGGTGCACTATGTAGTGTGGTGGACTGTGACACAGTGTGGTGCACTATGTAGTGTGGTGGACTGTGACACAGTGTGGTGCACTATGTAGTGTGGTGGACTGTGACACAGTGTGGTGCACTATGTAGTGTGGTGGACTGTGACACAGTGTGGTGCACTATGTAGTGTGGTGGACTGTGACACAGTGTGGTGCACTATGTAGTGTGGTGGACTGTGACACAGTGTGGTGCACTATGTAGTGTGGTGGACTGTGACACAGTGTGGTGCACTATGTAGTGTGGTGGACTGTGACACAGTGTGGTGGACTATGCAGTGTGGTGGGCTGTGACACAGTGTGGTGCACTATGTAGTGTGGTGGACTGTGACACAGTGTGGTGCACTATGTAGTGTGGTGGACTGTGACACAGTGTGGTGCACTATGTAGTGTGGTGGACTGTGACACAGTGTGGTGCACTATGTAGTGTGGTGGACTGTGACACAGTGTGGTGCACTATGTAGTGTGGTGGACTGT